AAAAGTAGTGCTAATAAATAATTGCAATTCATGTATTAATTAGGGCCCATACACCTAAGAACAAATTCTTGTCCTATAGGCTTCAAGGTGTCAGTATGAAGAACATCCCTCCCCCTATTTCTCATATACTTGACTAACGTTGACATTGTTTGTTTGTAACTGTCCAAAACCAGCAATGCAACAAACCACCTCATATGTGAAGATGATTAAATGTGTCTTGAATTAGCTTTGGAGCGTACTGAACCCACACCCCTTCTTCAGCCTTTACTGTTGTATTCCTGTGTTCCAGGTGTTCCATACCATGTTCCCTGTCTGGCAGTAGTCGCACTGTTCGTCGAATTCTGACAGCCTGCCTCCTCTCTCTGCTGGCCCTTCTTGGTTCTGTATCCATTGACCTCAGCTCCCACTTTGAATTGCTGCACAGTACAGAGGCCGCCTACGACGAGCTGACTTCGTGCAGGACGATAGCCATCCTGCAACTTGTCAGTAAGCTGCAAAAGATGAGACATTTATTTGCCAAACACACAGGCAATGAGACACTGGAAGCCAGTTTTTCAGAGGTTCTGTCTCCAGTGTTTGGTCATCTCTGTGGAGAGATGGCAGGTCACAGTAACAGCTACGGGCTTTCTTGCAGTGTTGAGTTGGCTGGATTTTGCCAGGAGATGAAGAGGGGCGTTCAAGGATTTCTAAATACTTCAATGTATGCAAACAGCACAAGTGAAAATGGTACTTCTGCTTTTACGGTGGTCATCGATAGACTTCTGGACATCTGGGGTACTGTAGAAGATACTTTAGTCAAAGTCAAACAGAGTTCTAACTGGAGAGATGTTCTGTCTGCAAGACTCCTGGTAACATTTATAGAGCTCAACCACCAGCTGATGGAATTTCCCCATATGGCAGCTAAGACTGACTTCCAGTACAAGTGGACTTATGTACTGAGCTACCTCGGCTTCGCTAAGGTTTTGAACGAACAACTGAATGACTGCTGGTTAGAGAACATAGATCTTAAGTTAAACTCGAGCCAGCATGAAAAACATTCCTATATGTTTGACTCAAGTCTGTGGCAGCTCTCTGGAACAGGAACAGTGCTTCTGTCTGGGTCTCATCTTGGAATTCAAGCTCTGACAAACACTCAGCAGTGCTTATTTGAGAGTGCAGTGCCAGCTCTCAGGTTGGTGTCTCGATCTGTGTCATCAGGCCTCAGTATGAAGATCTGCCTGCTGGCCATCGCCTGCCTCATCTACCCGGTGGTTATGTTCTCTTTCAAGCAAATGACAGAATGGATACAGAGCTATGCCCAAAGCTTGAGGGAGAGGACAGAGGACCTGAAGCACCAGAGGCAGCTGGCTGAAGATCTGCTGAACCAAATGTTGCCCAAGTCAGTCGCAAAGCAGCTTCGCCAACGTAAACATGTCGAGGCAGAGAGCTATGAAAAGGTTGGTGCAAACTATTTATAAAAAACTCAAATTTCTCCTCAATTATTTATCAAAACCAGTTTCAAATACATTTGAGAGAAGCCACTTGCTGTGCAGCTGAAGAATCACATTCCATTCTGTATCTTTAATTTCTAGTATTAATAGTTCTGCAACAGTTTGCTGATAGAGTGAACTTCCTGCTTCACTGATCCTGGAGGGAAGTTACCAAGAACAAGAGGCAACTATGCTCTTGTTGGAAGGTGGGAGATGATTTTGAGACAGCTAAATATCTCTGAGTCGATGTTGAATCACAGCAGAGATGCAGCCTGAGGTGACCAAAGCTTAGACTGAAGGTGGAACTTGGAATTTTGTGGAAAAAAGACGTTTTACAAAGCAAGGTCAGTAGTTATCTGGGCTGGGATGTGAATCTCTATCAATATTGAGGTTACCTTAAGCAAGACGCCAAACCACAAGCTCAGGTCAGCCAACAGACCAGACAATAGTTGTGCTGGGCAACTGTGGCTGAGAAAAAGCGCAGGCATGGAAGTGGTTTGATGCCCAACTCCTGTTCGGGAGAAAGATATTGAACCCCAAATAGTTACAAATGCACAATTTAAAAAAAAAACACCATGCAATCCTTTGGCATTTAATAAGGCTTTCAGACTCACACTTGAGTTTGTGAATCATAGTTTATCATGTCACTGCTTATTGGAACATTTACACCAATGAATTGACTTTGAATTACTTTATTGTCTCGTTATGTTGAAATATTAACATTATTTCATAAAGAGGTGGTCAAGAAATCAACTTTCAGTATTTCAGCATCCTATCAGGCTGTGCTTCAGATGGGCAACAGAGGAGAAATGATGTGGAATTGGATCTAGAGCCGACATAGCTGATCAGTAGAAAATCCCTGTGTTAAAAACCTTATTGGAAGTAAACTCAGTGAAGGACACATGAAAGCACAAAAAGATGAGCTAGAGAGAGCATATAGGTTTGCCTTACAGAGAGCCACAATTCTGTACTTTAGTTAAGTGGGACAAAAGCGCAGGGGCTTAATATTTTCTGTCAGAGCCCAGAGGCTCTGGAACTCCCTGCTGGATGAGATTAGGCTTGCAAACTCAATACCGATCTTTAAATCACTGCTCAAAACTTACTTTTACAGGAAAGCATTTCTAACCTGCGACCTGTAACTACTTTTACCACAATAATGACACCTATAGGAATCTTAATCTTAAACCTATAGAGTTCATGTATGATGTTCTTAAAGTCCCTCTCCCCTCCCCTGACCCCACCACCCCATCTCTCTCTCTATTCCAGTCCCTCATTGCCACTCAACTCCTCTTTCCCCACTTTTCTCCGCTCACCCCAACCGGTCGAGGCAGATGGCCGCACACATTGAGTCTGGTTCTGCCAGAGGTTTCTCCCAGTTAAAGAGGGAGTTTTTCAGCTCCACAGTCGTCAAAGGGCTTGCTCATTGTGGGAACTGTTGGGTTAATATGGCAGCTTCTGACTCTGCAACATATGAGAGTAGGTATTTAGTTCAGTTTAGTTTAAGCACTTTGTAATTTTTTTTAGATAAGTGCTATACAAATACAGTTATCATTATTATTATTAATGATAATAATAATCAAAATTTGTGAATATGGTGCTGCACAGAACGTAGGAAGTCGTGGAGAAAGCTTGACTGGTGTCTGAGCAGTCATAAAACATTTCTTAAAGGCAAATGTAGAGAGAAGACAACAATTCTAAAGAGAGATAAGAAAACAATCTTTCCCTTCATGCTCCTTCCCATTCACTTTTATCATTCACCGAAACAAATTCAGAGTTTATAATGATACAAGGGCTTGTGGGGGGCTGCTGCTGTGAAGAGGGAACCTCTGCAAGATCCGCAAACATGCTAAATGAAGGTGTGTGTTTGCTGCCTTTGTTGCTATTGTTAGCGTAATTACCTATAATTGCCCTGCTCCATATTCATTAGAAGATAAAACAAGTTATGCGGGTGAAAATTGCGTCTGGCTTATTGAAGAGGTTTGGAGCAGCTGTACCAAAAGCCCTCTGCACAGCGTAGGGCTGCTCCTGAATAGGACAGTGGGCTGATTTTTAAACTGATGTGGAGCTTTCAGGTTTTCTGGAAAGAAAACCTAAGACCCAACAATTCTTGTCAGACAGGAATATAAAATATGACTTACTGTCAAGAGTGATGCTGTCCACCCAGAGCCTCCCTGATTCTGCTTGTCCTGTGCAGCGCATGCAACACCTGTTAGGAAAAGACCTCAGGACAACAACTTTTACCATTATTAATATTATTAATTACAATACTTCAGTAATGAATTATTATATGAATTGTGCCTGTAATCAGTAATAATAAATAGTCTTTACACTGTTATTGTTTACATTTTAACTAATCAGATCTGATACCTAATGATGCTCAAGTGTTCCCGGTCTCTCTCACCTCTCTCTCTCTCCCCCTCCTCCCCCTCCCCACTATCACTCTCTCTTCTCTCTTCCACCCATCTCTCCTCTCCTCCCCTTTTTCTTTGCTCACCCCAACCAGTCGAGGCAGATGATCGCCCACATTGAGTCTGGTTCTAGAGGTTTCTCCCTGTTAATGAGGGAGTTTTTCCTCCAAAGTGCTGCTCATTGTGGGAACTGTTGGGTTTCTCTATATTTAGTATGATTTTAAGGTCTTGACCTTCTATGTAAAGTGCCTTGAGATAATGTATATTATGATTTGGCGCTATACAAACATTTTATTGAATTAAGACCACAGGAGAAATCTGAGGTTTTCTACACTTAAGGCTTCACTAATCAGACACAGGCAGATGCCAATTATTGTGTTCCCTTTCTCTCACATAATGCTGGGATTGGCCTGGATGACTGAGACTCTACTTGGTGATGATTCTTATTTCTTTACCTAACATCTATTTCAAATCATTCCCCTCAATACTTTTGCTGTACATGACTTTACTACATTTCAATTCTAAATACAGTTCTTTTCACTTTTTATTCTTACTTAATTAATAATTAGTAATTGGCTTGTGACTCAGTTCTTTTTTGAAACTTTTTCAAAAATCTTTTTGGTCATAGCTCTGTGGTGAATGTAAGAGGTCAAATTGGCCATTACTTTAACATTACAAAACTCATAGTTATACTGTGACCCTGGAAACTTCTGGACTAAAACAACTAACTGCACATAAAGCAGTAAAAAATACTGATGTACAGTCAAACTTAACTGGCTACACCAACAAAACATCCTGTTTATATATGTATATATGTAACAATATAATAATGTCAGATATAAGAATATATCAAGTCAAAGGAGACACTGCACAGCCACAATTTTATTGCTGGTACCTTAAGTAAATGAGGCTTATAATTCATGTGTATCTATCTATTGATATTTATGAGAGCTGGATCTACAGTTGGTCTGTTGTAGAAGTAGATTGCATTAGTTTTAGCTAGATGTACCTAATAAACTGATAACTGAGTATATTTCTGTCCAGTTTTATCCAATAAATCTTACACTTCATCACTGTTAGTCACTTCTCTCCTTTTTGTTCCAGGTGACCATTTTTTTCTCTGACATTGTGGGCTTCACTTCTATCTCTGCGTCCTGTACTCCTCTGCAAGTGGTGGAGATGCTCAACAGCCTCTACATGTGTTTTGATACACGCATTGACTCATATGATGTCTACAAGGTAACAATGAAATTTTCACATGTACACATGTACTTTTTTTCAGTTTCTGAGATTCAATTCAATTCAATTTTATTTGTATAGCGCCAAATCATAATATACATTATCTCAAGGCACTTTACATAGAAGGTCAGGACCTTAAAATCATATTAATAAAGAGAAACCCAACAGTTCCCACAATGAGCAGCACTTTGGTGACTGTGGAGGAAAAACTCCCTCATTAACAGAGAGAAACCTCTAGAAGAACCAGGCTCAATGTGGGCGGTCATCTGCCTCGACCGGTTGGGGTGAGCAAAGAAAAAGGGGGGAGGAGAGYAGAGATGGGTGGAAAAGAGGGGAGAGAAGAGAGAGGGATAGTGGGGAAGGGGAGGAGGGGGATAGAGACCGGGAACACTTGAGCACCATCAGGTATTAGATTTGACTAGTTAAAATATGTACAGTAACAGTGTAAAGAAGTTAGGATTATTATTGATGACAGGCACAATTCAAATAATAATTCATTACTAAAATATTGTTGTTAATCATAGTAAAAATGGTAAAAGTTGTTGTCCTGAGGTTCCGGGGTCAGAGATATCTGCAATGAGAGAGAAAAAGAGAGAGAGGGACTATGGGAGTACAAAGTGAAATAGTTATTGACACGTATTACAATAAATAAATGAATGAATGTGGGGGGGCAGAGAGACAGAGAGAAGAGGAGAGGTCCTGAGTGCATGATGGGAGTTCCCCCAGCAGTCTAGATTGAGATTGCCCCATTAACCTCACTGTGATGACACATGTGTGCAGACCCTGCACTGACTGATGTTCCAACACGAGGCTTCTTATTCTTTCTACTGGTGAACTGTGAACAGAGCCAGACGAGCTCTTTCCCCTGGCTTAATGATAAGCTAGGCTAACTACCTCTTAAATCCATGAGACTTAGATCTAACTAAACAGCTCACTATATATTTATCCTAAAATGTTGAACTACTCCTTTAGCATTAGAACTCACGGAGGAGTGTTCAGTGTATTGTCTGAGTGTAACAAATTGTTTCTTGAACTGTGGACGAATGACAGTACACACACACTCACATACACACACACATACAATATACAAATATATAAATTATAATATATGTAATGACACTATGGGATTGGGTCATATTCCACAGTTGAGCAGCTTTGAATACAGGAAGAAAGTCATAGGACTTCTGGTGATGGATGGAGAGCGATTGGAGAAGGAGGCAAAAATAAAAAGGAGAGAGATAGTAATAATGAGAGCAGGGATGGTTGATCCAGGGGAGTGAACATCAGACAAATCATGTCATTAACATACAACCTCAAATGTTGAATTTGCAATGGAGAAATTTAAATATAAAATGTCGCCTAAGCAATTATGTCTCACATGAATGTGTGAAAGCAAAATTCTACCCACCTATCGAACCAGGTGGAGACAATAGGGGACGCATACATGGTGGTGAGTGGTCTTCCTGAGCGGAACGGGGACAGGCATGCTGATGAGATTGCCAAGATGGCGCTTGATCTGGTAGCAGCTGTCAGACAGGTCTCCATGCCTCACATGCCCAACCAGAGACTGCAGCTCCGAGCCGGCATCCACACAGGTGAGAGGAATCCACTGTAACTCAGCAGACAAATACTTCACTTGGATTGCTAGATGACAATGTATGTAGAAACGCTAGTGTTTTTATACTGTATGTTGACAGCTCAACACACGCACCATGTGGAGGTTATTTTTTGGAATATAGATAGACAGGTAAATTAAAGGCTCAGCTCCCCTCCACCAAAACAGCCCAGTGCATCACTGGCAGTGCCCCTATCCAACTCTACGGTTATCCTCACTCGTGCACAAAACCTTGAGAGCTTTACAATCCTTCACATCACGCAAAATGAAAATCTGCTGAAGAATTGATGCTTAATAAGTTGCTTTAATTTTTGTCTGGCCACAAATTGTGATGGAATTGTAAATAGGAGAATCCTTAGCTTTTTATCTTGTGCCATCAGTAAAACATTGTATTTGATAAGATAAGATAAAAGTTTATTGACCCCACATAGGGGAAATTCTCTTGTTACAGATGCAGACAAGTCTTACTGAGGTATATAAGAGAATACAAATATTTATTAAATTCAAAAGAATAAAAAATAAAAACAGAATATTGTCACAACCCGGCTTTTAAAGCCACTGAATTGAGAAACAGCGGCAGGACAACCTGACAGGAAGGAGCAGGAGTCCCCACCCGCCCCATAAACTTCGCTTGGAACGGGAAACACACAATAGGGAGGAGATCCGACACCTGATAACTGGGACTACACTCACAACGCTCTGCCCTGCGATCATGCATTTTTTTTTTCATTTTGGACAGTTCACCAGCTGCATAAAGGCGCTGCCTGAACTCATTGACATAATTCAGCAGACTCACTGGCAGATCAGCCTCTTTCCAATCCGCCTGCAACACAGCTAACGGGCCACACACAGTGTGCCAAACACAAGGACGTTTGGGCTAAAACCATGCTGTCTTACCGGGCAGACAGCATGAGCCAAGGCAAACCCTCCTCCCAATCCTGATCCATCTCTGTGCAGTACCCGCGTAACAGTGTGAGTGTATGATACAAGGAAGTTTAAGCCTTGATCAGACAGAATGCCAAAAATGTATATTATTGTGTCAGCGCCTTTACCACTGACAAGGTATGGTGCGTAATGGAGAGGTGGCAGGATATCTTGTACTCTGGCACATGGCAGTTAACAAATACATGCTACCAGACCTGGAAGGAGGGAGGGGCCCCACACAGTCCGCAATCGAGTGATTAGAAGGCTAGCCTGTGGCAGGAATTGGCACAAAGGGTGCCTGTCTGATCCTCTGATTAAGGTTCCCTGTGAGCTGGAGCAAAACAACACAGGAGCAGGAGGACATTTTTCCTGAGAGCCTGATTATCAAAACGTGAATGGATAGGGCAGAAAGTAATAATGCAACTGAAGACAACTAAGGCTGCAACATAACCAACTGGGTGCCTGCAGAGCAGAAGATAGACTGTGGACACCAGGCCCCTGTGCCAGTGGAAGACTGCACATCAGGACATTTCCTGCTGGCCTGATGGTCTTTTTGTCTTGCCTGATCTGATACCTTGACCAGCATTACTATAGCAAACAGAAATGAGGTGACAGACCTTTCAAATCCACTTATCTGGCAACTGACATAACCAACGTAATCACGTCGCACGTGACGTCTCTCTGTGACGCACATAACAGCCGAAGATATTACAGCTATGCTATCTGAACTCATTCTGATAGTATTATAACAAGAAAATGAAAGTTGGAGCAGAGAAGGAGAAAATTAAGAAGAGAAAAGCTCTTGCCTCAGTTGCAGCTAAATATTGCAAAATAAGCAGCATGTTCACCAGGTCAGTCGAGTGACCCTCACAGCAGTACCAGTCAGCCTTCCCTCATTTCATGGTGCACGTTGTTTCTAAGCATTAAGTTTTGAGAGTTAGAGTGATTTCAACATCAGTCTGTGAATGCATGAATGAATTAATGAGGTGACACATTAATTCATTCATTAAAATTCACAAAACTAATTGAACATCATGAAGCAATGATGAACACTAAATAAAATTCATGATTAAAAAGTACAACCACATGTGAAACCTTCAGAGAAATTTGAGAATTTAAAAATGTATGATTCCTCTAACCACTGTTTGAATAATTAGTCAAACTTTACAATAAAGAAAAACTTAAATTCAAGCAGCACAGTACAGACTGTCATTGAGAAACTACTTATTTCCACATACTAATTTTACTTCACAATGACAGTTTACCACATCAGTGTCTCATCAAGATAATATCAGGACAATCTGATGTAGAATTTCAAAGTATATGCCCATGAAATATCATATTTTCACTGTTTTGGTTTAGGCAACAAAGAAGCAGATTCTTATGATACTTGACAAAGATGTTGTAATAGAAAAGATATCAACAAATAGAGTTAGCCTACAAAATAAGATGTCTGGTACTTTGCATGAATAGGTTGGCCTGGAAAAGAGTCAAGTTCCCGTCCTGGATTATTGTCTCAGTCAGCTCCTGCCAGGTACCCACAGTTGGCGATGATGTTCCTAGCTCCTCCCACTAAGGAAACCCATATACACTCAACACACAGGACAAAATGACAGCGAGTAGGAGTTGTGACAATATGTACATAATATACACCTTTCAATACAGAAAACTATTGTTTGTATAGACGAAAACGTATTTCAGTAAAGTGCAGTGGTGCAGTGTTACTGGTTGATCAAATACCTGCAGAATTAATGGCATTCCCAGCAGCCTCCTTGCTTTGCATTTACTGCTAACAAGTAAATGTGAGCATGTTAGCACGTGAGATAGCAACAATGATAGATAACTCTTGCCTGTTTCAACAGCAGCATGTTGTCACAGTGAGCGTCAGCCACTATAAAAAAACAGATAGGCACTATGTCGTTCTTTGTCTCTTGCCCTGTCCTGTGTGATGTATTGAACTGTTAATGCTTGTAACCTCTAGCAAATGAGTCCAGCACAGCTCTTTGTCTCTGTCCTCTCTAGGTCCATGTGTGGCAGGAATAGTGGGCTCTAAGATGCCAAGATACTGTCTCTTCGGAGATACTGTCAACACAGCCTCCAGAATGGAGTCCACCAGCCTGCGTATGTGCACCTAGACACACAAGACACATTCAGTGGAAACTTTGTATATTTGTAGGAGTTGAATATTTCATACTTTGTCAGCACCCACTGAAATCAGAAATATTGTTAAGATCCATCCTCCTTCATCATTGTTTGTGTGTCAGCTCAGAGAATCCACACCAGTTCAGAAACCTACTTGGCTCTGATGAAAGACAACGCCTATGAGCTGCAGCTTCGGGGAGAGATTGAAGTGAAGGTACATGATCTCAGTCTTGCTGTGAAGTTTACTTTCTGTGTTGTAATGTAAGGTGGCTGTGGCTCAGGTGGTTCAGATTCCTGGCTCCTCCAATCTGTCGCTGCAAGACACAGAACCTTATATTGCCCGTGTGACAATGGGATGTGTGAATGATAGACAATGTGCTATGTATACAACAGGCCATATACTGTATGTGTGAATGTGATCTGTGATTGAACTTTGAGTGGTCATGAAGATGAGAAAATCCAGTCCATTTATTGAGGCAATCAAACCCTACATTTGTGTTTGCATTAAGGAAGCCCATT